TCAAACGAAAGGAAATTATATAAGGTTTCAATATAAAAAAATATTATTTTGATTTGTTAATATTTGAAAAAGTTATGGCAGTTTTTAAGAACAAAAAACATTCCGATAGAAGGTGATTTTTATCGCAAACATTATTTTTTTTTTAATTTCANGTTATGGCAGATTTAAGAACAAAAAACATTCCGATAGAAGGTGATTTTTATCGCAAACATTATTTTTTTTTTAATTTCGACAGCCATTTGCACATAGAAGATAAGGTCCGGACAAATTTTTTTTTTTCATTTTATAGTACATAAAATAAGCTTTAATTTGATATATGTTTAGAGGACGCAGTATTTCCGGAACATTTTCAAAAATTAAGTTTAAAAAGTTAATTTTTGTAAAAAAGTTGCTATTTTAAATCCCCCCCAATGAGCAGGTTAAGAGTTACACTTTCAAGAAATGATATCAAATGAAAGGTAATTATCTAAGGTTTTAGTATAAAAAAAAATTATGTTGATTTGTTTATTTTTGGAAAAATTATGGAAGTTTTAAGAAAAAAAATGACAAAATTTACCGATTTTTAAATTTGTAATTTTTTTGGATATTTCCCCCATTTTCGGGAAACGAGGGAATTTTTTTCAATTTTTAAGAGTATTGTCTCCAACTAGATACGATTTGTGATCTTTTGACGTATTTTTGAAAGAAATCGGTCTAGTGAGAGCAGAGAAAAAGTAGTGACAGACACAAAAAAAAATAAATAAACACATCATGGTATAATTAATAACTTCTCAGCTTCGCATCGAAGCTAAAATTTCAATTTCAAATATGCATAAAACATATAATATAAAATACAATTACCAATTAACAATTTTATATAATAATATAAGTAATGTATGAAAGTAATATATACAGTTTACAACTATGCATAATAAAATTCACTTAAAATTTAAACAATTTAATTTGTCATACTTTTTTNGTTGAAAGAAATCGGTCTAGTGAGAGCAGAGAAAAAGTAGTGAGAGACACAAAAAAAAAAAAAATAAACACATCATGGTAAAATTAATACCTTCTCAGCTTCGCATCGAAGCTAAAAAATAATTAAGAAAAAAAAAATTGTTTTTAATTAGTTCTGACTTTCATTATAAATATGTTAAAAATAAAGAAAATGACTATTTAACCTATTTTGTTAATTCTTTAAAGTTGATTTTTGTGAAAGTTTATAGTAAAAAAAAATTATTTATTACCATAACGTCTAGCTCAATTTACAAGTTTGACATTGATATCATTAAATAGAGAATTTTATGAAAATTCAAAAAATTGTATCGTTAAAATAAATATGCAGTCAGTAAGTTTTATAATTACTATTTATAATAAATTTATCAGAACAGCTCAATATTTTTTTGCATTTTTATGGTAATAGATAACTTAAATAGAAGTAATAGTAATAATTTCGCAGTAACTTTTGGTGTTTAAAAAGATTCTGCAATTGAAATATTTAGAACTTAATTAATTTTAATGATTTACTTTAACTAGATGAACCAATCAAAACAAAGTTGTTAAAAAGATATACTCAATTGTGCGTATTATAAAATTTGATTATAATTGTAATAATCCATTGTTAATTCAGGAGAAACTAACTATCATTTTTTTTAAGAAATGATTTATATAGCAACATGTTACCAAATAAATTGGAATATTATAGTCTAGTAGTAGCACAATAAATAGAGTAAAAAATGTATTAAATTAAAACTTATATTATATACTTAACTATGAAAAAAATTAAAATTTAAAATATTGATTTTCTTCTTGGTGAAAACGACTACCGTATTCAAATATATGCTATTTTTGTGTTAAAATTATAGTTTTGTATTTTATTTTATTTAAAATATCTTACAAGGGAAATATATTGACTTTCATGTATATTATATAACTTCATTTCATTTCAAAATCATTTGATTTTTATCTCATTTAGATTCAATAACTTCAATAAATATTAATGATCCCATCACTGTAGTCACTCTTCGCAAGAAGTAATTTCTTATTCATGTTAATACTATTTTACTATGTGGAATTTTTTGTGACTGCTATTTATTTTCCCAATCCTCACTTGACCTATATTTTTCAACGATACGGCAAATGATTACAATTCGTATTTAATTGAAGATATTACCCTCAAAAATGTAAAAAGATTTCCCCACTATCAAATAAAAATTTCTTAACCAAATAAATTTCTCCATAGAAACAATTAAAATCATTAATTTTTAATATTCTTAAAGTATCTACTGTCGAATTACATTTGATATGATAAAAGTATTGAACTACCAAAGTAAATAATTTTAGTTTGTAATTTATTAATTTTTTAACTCTTTTGTGTGTGCTACTACCAGTCTATAACATTCCAAATTTTTTTGTTACATGTTGCTGTATANTGTGCTACTACCAGTCTATAACATTCCAAATTTTTTTGTTACATGTTGCTGTATAAATCATAAAACTAAGAAAAATGAATGACTTTAGTTTCTACTGAATTTAACAATGGATTTTTACAATTATACTATAATCGATTTATATTCATTTTTTATGATAAACTTTCACTGTAAAGGACAAAAAAAGTAAGTTAAAAATCATTACTTTTAACATATGAAAAATCAAAATTTATAATAATTTTGAAAACAATTAATTATAAAATTTATATAATATATAATTAAAATATTATATTTTTGAATCTAAGAATTACTTAACTGAATAAAATTAAGGAAATAAAAGTTTATGTTGTTTTTGTAATTATCCTCAAATTTATTAAAATTAAACACCATCTACAGATTTTCAGAAGCGTTTTTTATAATAGTGATTTTAATCACTGTCAGATATCATTATACTTGACCCAACTATGTCACGTTCCCACTGTGACGGTTTTTTTTTTATAATTCTGTTACTATTATTACATATAGACATTCATAAAGTGCCTGATTATGTATTTCTATCGACACTTAAACATAGAAATATGATAATAATAATAATATTCATGTTCTAAATCATCACACAAAAACTTTTTTAGAATAAATTAAACATTTATTAACAAATATTATGTAACACAAATATTTTCAATAAGGTTTAACTATATTTTTATAAATGTTGAGTAGGAACTACTTCGCAAATTTAGGCAGCCAATCATTTTTCTCGTTATCATAACACATAAAAAATGATTTATCGCCCTTATAATCATTAATTATGTTTTTTTTCATATCTGAAACGAAATAAAAATTTACAATTATTATCAAAACAAGAGTAACTAATATTCGAAAAAATAAAAAATGTAGAAAGAATTAATACTGGAATTATCCAAGTAAGGTGGCGAAAATAAAGTTTAAAGATTCCTATTTGAAAACTTTGATTTTTTTGAACAGTATATCAAGCATTTTATTAAATAAAATTTTTATTCCTTTATTAATTTTTTTTTTAGATTTTTTAACTTGATAAATGATAAAATGATAAATAAACGAAATGATNATTCCTTTATTAATTTTTTTTTTAGATTTTTTAACTTCGAAATGATAAAAAAAATGATTTACTAAAGGATTGTAGTAATTTTTTTTCAATTAAAGAATATATTACTTCATGAAAATTAAAATGTTTGATAATTTTAAAAAAAGTTCAATTTTGGATCTAAAAAGATGGGACTATACATTAAGTTGAGGATGAGACGGTACTTATAAACTATTTTACGAGAACTACACCAAATACATGTAATACGACTTTTATTACAGGCATAAAATAAATAATAAATATATACGCCGCGACTATTATTTAAAGGAACAATAAAAATAATTAGTGGTAATGACGCCGTAAGTATACTAAGTATACTCAACACTTGAGAAACGTCACAATTTAAGAACTAATGTAGATATAATTATAATAAGTCGGCTAAATAGTTATAAGGGAAATTGTTATAATTAATATAATATAAAAGCATGTGCCAGGAGGTATTTATATTAAGGATTAATATACGTAAGGTAATGTTAAAAAAGGCAACTGACGGTGTACACGCGCAATAAGAAATCCCACTATATAAAAGGCAGCGAGTTTAATAGTTTATATATTAATTAACACAAGATTTATTAGAAGGCATAAACCTAAAACTCAAAAAGAGTAAGAAGTGTAGTCATACATAGTAAAGAAATGGTGTGAATATTTCTTTAAACCACATTCGTTCAGCAAATAACGTACAAGAAGATGAGTAAATAGGTGAAATCACGAAAGCCGACATTTTTGACTACAGCTGCAAACCTTTAGCACCAACGGACAGCATTGATATAGGCTGCTTGTTTAAAAAATCCAATATCTACATAATCAAAGTAACCACTCTCTTTTGTAGGATCTACACCGTATAATTTTGACGATTGTGGTCGAGTATAATTTTAAACATGTCTTATTGTGAAAATAACTAATTTATAATATTTTTTTATATTTTCTTTCAACAAACTTATCCATAAAGTAATAATACTCAAGAGTCAAAATAAAGATTTAGATTATTTATATGTGAGTTTTTATTTAAAATAAGAGACGGTAATATATACTGTAACAACTGATAGTAATTAAAATTTTTATTTCTAATAATCCTATAACATCTTACTCGAAGACGATTCTTTTGAATTATTAGAAAACATTAATAGACTACAATAAATAAGGGATTAAATTCCACAGTTAATAAAAATTGAACAAGGAAGAAAAAAAAAAAAAAATATTATGAAAAAATCATAAAGAAGTCAATTTTGAATCTGGTTAATTGGTTTTAATAAAATTTAATGTTCGTGAGAAAATATTTAAAAAAATTGTCATACAAATATGCAGACCTTTTAAAATTGTTAAAAATTTACATGAAAAATTATAAAATCACTTTATCCTTAAACGGTAAAGATATCATAAATACCTTTGGAATCTACCATAGATATGTTTAAAGTTATGTAGATGTGCAATTCAAAAGATTAGTAGAAGAAGAGGGAAAATCGAATATTTATAAACTACAATGTGAAAGTTGTGATGAATGTTACATTGGTAAAACAAAAAAACATTTGGTTAGATTTAAAGAACACTTAAGAAGCATCAATAATCAAGAAATTAATAAATCTCTTATGGATAAACATTTATTGACATATAATCACTCTATTTAAATCATAAAATTAATTAAAATAATACAAAGATCTTTATAAGTCATTAATATTAATATAATAAGAATAATGTTAATACGTCATTATTAACATTATTCCCAAAATACGTATACACGATTAATAATATTTGCAAAAAGTGGTGAATTTTCATTATATTTTACCATTGTAATTGAATTCGTTGTCCTGATTTGTATACTTATTGAGTAGATCATCAAGTTTATCGTCTTTTAATCGACCATTAAACAATTCGCATCTCAAAATGACTTCTTTTGCATACTCTTTTGACACAGTGCCATTATTTTTCTTATCGCCTGCGCGAAGTTGTTCGTAAAAAGCATCTTCTTTAGGTTTCAAACAGAAATAATAATTTCCGAAAATGAAATAAGAAATCGCCCCAATATCTAAGGAAATTTCAAAAAAAAAAATGTTTAATACAAAATATTAGCCTGTGCATTGGAATAAAATTCAAACATAAAGTAATAGAAATACTATTTCACTCGTCGAAAAATATAATTATAGATAGAGTTTTTAAATATTTGTTAAGTTTTTGCAAAGGCAAAGTACTTTTGATTCAAAAATCTTAACATTAATAATATTATTGCTAATTAATACATATATTTTGAATGGCAAAATCGTTACAGTAAATTTTAGTGTTTTTTTTATAAGTGCTCATTTGACTGAATTTATAGTAGAGAGAATAGTTAGTTCCATAAATAGACACGGCTCCGAATTAAAAATCATTAATTGTTTTAAAGTATTATATGCTCTTTTAATAGTTTTTTTTTAGAATTTACCTCAGTAATTTCAAATTTAAGTAAAATAATCTTATTATTAAACTTGAAAATATCTAACGACGTTTCTTAATAATAATGGCCTTTAAATTAGGTCTGCCGATATCTCTTGACATTTTAGCATTAGAATTGAGTTTAAAAACATTGATCACTAGAAGGTTCTATAATGACGTAGTTTTTATCTATAAATTAATGAATGGTAAATATTCCTGTCCAGAGTTTCTAAGTAAAATAAACTTTAAAATTCCAATTTGTAATTTAAGAAATAATCGCCCGTTTTTATTACCACAATTCCCAACAAACTTAAATATAATCCGGAGTATTGTGTATAATTTTAAATAGATGTAACAATATACTGAATTTAATTTTATAAAAATCATTTTTTCAAAATATATATATATATTTTTTTTTTTTTGAAAATTTTGAAATTTTTCGCTCTGATGGACGATATTACATAATAGAACGATTGTTAGGAAACATCTTTTTTTAATATTGTACACTACAAAAACAATAACTTTAAATAGGTTGAGAGGTGACAACTTAACCCACGCAACGAACAGTGGAGTCGCCACCTTATTAATAAGAAATCATTTCTTCATCAACTATTTATACGATAGGTCTTGATTATAAAAAAAAAAGACACCCAGTTAAATATTATTCTTCTTAGGATTCGCTGACGATGTTGCACTCCTAGCTAATAATGAGTATGATTTGGAAAAAACATTGGAAGAATTGGAGAGATGCTTCCAATATTATGATTTGACTATCAACTGGCAAAAAATTAAACTTATGATATGCTAAAAACCAGACCGATGCGCAAAATCGAAGTTAGGATCTATAAATAAATAAAAATTGTCATGTTCCATGTAATATTATATTAGTATTTATAATATTAACATATATTATGATGTTATCATTTGTACATGTATGTCACATATTATAAATATACAAGATTACCATTACAGGGTTCTTTTATTTAAAATACAAAACAACCAGTTAATTATGCGATAAAATCTACATATTGTAGAGATTATTAAGTAACGCCTACACGTAGGGCCCTCATTATAATTAAATTATTAAAATAGAAAGCCTCAGCTTCCAAGATCACGTTAGAGATCGGTAGCCTACCCATTTCTGACTACAAAAAGCCATTTTTCGCCGTCAAAACTAGTTCTTTGGATAATTTAAAAAAAAACAAAATCTACGACTTTCTACTCAATATTTCACTCTACGGGACTTGGTCGTTTTTTTTTTAATTAAGTAGGATTTCGAATTATTTCAATTTAAAAACACTTTGTTTATTTTCTAATTTTTTGGACTTAAAATTTTTCTTTTTCTTTAAAACTAAATGACACTTTGACATTTTAAAGTGAATTTTGTTTTGGTGAATCTTTTTACCTAAATTAATTTGTTTATCGAATTATAATATTTTATTTACTTATTTTTCTTATTGTGGAAATAAATGTGAAATATTATTTTAAACATTAAACTTTTTTTTTTAATTATTTTATGAACCCAATACCACTTTAAAGTATTTTTAGACAGTAAAAATTTATTGTGAGCTTTTCTTATTGTCCTTTTTTTAACAAACATCGCGCCGGCAGACAACGCAGAGATATTTACGAGTATATTTGCAGCATTTAATTTTAGTCTTGGTGATTATTGTGCCGCATCCTTTCAAGACGTCCGGACACATTGGGCTACCACAATACCAACTTGATAAATTTTTTATATAGATATAAATATTTTTGAATCTTGTTTTGGCCAGGCCAGAGGAAGATTTAAGAAATATTGGTGTTGATAACTCAACAAAATATATTCTCTCAAAATAAAATACTTATTCAACAAACGTAAAAAAAATTAATAAGGACAAATTATAAATTATATTTCTAATAAAATATAGAGTTTATAGAATCTTAAGCAAGTAAAATCGTTTATAGATTCTGTGTAATTAAATTATATTATGTAAAACTTGAATCGTTTANGTAATTAAATTATATTATTTAAAACTTGAATCGTTTACGTAAGTAATTATATTGACTATATGGCGTGTAGTGTAAATCGTAAACATAGTGTATTTAATACCAGAATCAACATTTAATTACTTCAAATATTATTGCATTACATAGGACGTAAGGTAAGTACAATTTAACCTATGCTTTCGAACCTCCTTTNGTAAATCGTAAACATAGTGTATTTAATACCAGAATCAACATTTAATTACTTCAAATATTATTGCATTACATAGGACGTAAGGTGAGTACAATTTAACCTATGCATTCGAACCTCCAACAATCTATTGCGTAATAAACAATTAATAAATCAATAAAAAAATATTTAACTTCCCAAAATTCCACAACCAAGTCCGATCTACCACTACGATCTTATATTTCTTATATTATTCTTTTTTGTTTTTATTTTTGGTTTATTACATCCAATAGCATTAGTATTAGTGTGAGGAAACGCTTCATAAATCATGGAGAATGACAACTATATGGCTACGAAACCTGGATAAAATATAAAAATATAGCAGTACAAGAAATACTTGAGAACTTTGAAATGTGGTGTTGGAGATGGATGTTGCGATTGAGTTGGATAGAAGTCCTTATTAACGAAAGTACACTGGGTGAAATAGATAAACGTACATAGATACACAAAACCATTAAAACATAGATTGGATTGTGACCATGATTGGTCATATATTGAGACACCATATTGAACTAATTTATAGAATAATAGAACGGAAAATTGAAGATAAGAGTGGCCGAAGACGTCCAAGAACTTTATTTTTCAAACAAATTATTTCCTATGCTAGACTATCAAGCTACACTTAATTGAAGAGAATAGCTGGAAAAAAGAAAAAGTGTAGAATGAATTTAAAATTCGATTAAAAATATTAAATATCAATTACTTGCTTCCTCCTCATCACTATCGTATCCTTCATGAGAAGCATATTGTTTTTCTACAAATTCTTTTATTTGTAATATATTAACGTCGTCATCTTTTAATTCTTGATTCTCATATTTATGTGACATTAATTGTCCGTAATAAAATGATATGGGATTCTCTTTCTATAAAAATTCAATTTTAAGTTCTTCATTGGTTTATAACAGTTAATAAAATAAATGTATATGTTAAAAAAACTAAAAAAACACGCTTTTAAAGCACATCGAAATAAAAAGTTTAAAATAATTTTTAAAATAAGCTTAAAACAGTAATGCTACTAATTTTTTTATAATAAAAATTATTTTAAACTTTTTAGTTTGATGTGCTTTAAAAGCGTGTTTTTTTAAACTATATATTTTTTTTATTTTGTTTCTATTGTGTAACACGTTTCTTTAGGCCCGTTTTACAATAGCGCGTTTTTTTTTGTTTCACAGTATACCGCGTTTTTGCTATAGCGTTTTCTATTTATTTTCAAAATGAATGTCCAACAGACAAAATGTATGGTAAAGGGTCAAAAAATATACTTAATAAAAAGAAAATATCTAAGGTGTTTTAAAAAAAAAAAATGATAATTTTCAGTAAAAAAGTTTGCTTTGTAGATTTGTAATTACTTACTTTAATTTATAATGAGTTTAAAAAAAAAACGTACACACTCTTTTTAAAAATGAATGTGTTATATTTCATTCTAAGGTATCCAAGAGAGTAATCAAAAGAGATGTAGGCATATGTTTTATTTAGAACAAAAATATTTAATGAAGATACAATTGTTTGGGGGGGGGTTTAGGTAGTGAACATTTTTTTTATTTATATGCCCTCTTAAAACAAACTTCAATTGCGCCACTGAAGGTATGACTTTTGTATCTTTTTTGTAGAGATATACATTTCTTTGAATTGAATCGTTTATATTAATTATACAGACTGTAGGTAAACTATTCATAAATAAAAACCCAACTTTTATGAATGTATTCACTTTTTTAATGAACGTTATTAGAACGTGTTCATTCGACAACAAAATGAATTTGAGTGTGAGCGAGTTATTTTTTACACGTAAACGAATTCAATTTTTTATTTAACGTTCCGGAATATTCTTAAAAACAAATAGTACTAATATTAAATAAAAAAGAATGCTAAATTCCAATTATTCTCCTATTTTACCTCCTCTAACCTTATGCCTTGTTGTGACTTGCCTGTATGTGCACACATAATTTTATTTTGTTGGAAACATTTTAATGTAATTAGCGATAGCCCGGCCCGGAGGGGACAAAGCCTGTGTATAATATACATGCATAAATACTCACTTGCATCTTTTTAATCGTTGCTGTCCATAGCATCGAATATAAAGGTTGCTACTCTAATATCCCTGTCCTTATACCTTTCATCCCTTGAATTCCACAAATTTGGTCTTTGTTGAACTTTATTTATTAAAATTTCAGTGTCTATAATGATAGTCGTTTAACGTGAACTTGCTAGGGGTAGAAGTCATGACAGAATGACGAAAAAATACAAGATGCGTACGTCGTAAGCGTCAATATGAACATGTTAATTCTATCAATGTTTGGTCAGGTCGCGTATTATATACCGGACCGATGAGATGACTGCGTACGGATCAAGAAAAACGCGTAACTTGAAATCCGTGGGCGTATCGTAAGCGGCGCTATTAAATGCTACATAGTAATAACGTTTCTATAAACGACGCATAAGAAAACGCACTAGTGTGAAACAGGCCATACAGTTTTGTTTTTATTTGATTACTACACGCCGTGTGCTTGAGTTATACAGAGTGATTTTTTTTATCATAACCCACTCAATTACTTACAGAATAAATATAATTTAAACGTTTTTTTTTTGGTTAACTTTAGTTACACATTATTCTTGAATTATTAACTATGCAATACTTTTTAAGTTCATCCCTTATACCTTTTAATGGGAACACATATTTTGAATTTAATAGTAAATGGCATTTGAATTCTTAACATAACTTAATTCGTTTATTACATATAAACAATTAAAGTTTAAAATTTTTAAGTTGATATACATATATAGTACACAAGGTATTACAAATACAGGTAGCTAATTGGTTTTATATAACATCAATATTGGCAAGTACACTGCATTGTTATTATCAATGGTAGTAAGGCACATTGTTGCGAGTTCATAAATACACTAAATGATAATATAAAAGTTTATCTATTGATAGTCGTAATTGATATTAAACAATCCGGGACTGTGACAGCGATGTCATAAAAAATTAATTAGCTACCTGTATTTGTAATTTTTGTGTATTATAGATGTATATTAACTCAAAAATTTGAAACTTTAAATGTTTATTTAACGTACCTATTGGATACCTTTTATAATGTATATATATGTACATTTATAGTTAAATGTAATTATTTTTATTTGGTGTATAATTTTTTTGCATTTTTAAATACATAAAGAATTATTTAATTACGCCTAACGCAATATTTACAAAAATACAAAAATTGACTAATTTTTTTTTCAAAAAAATTTATGTATTTATGTGTTTTATTTACTTTTTTGTAACTTTGCTCCTTTTCCCCTTTTTTATACTTTTAATCTGTATAACTTGAGTTTTTTAAATTAAAACATTTAAAAAGTATAATTCAATTATTTTTATAATATAAATTATCCAGCTAAGAAAACCACAGAATACAACTTTTGTGTTACTATTTTAGAAAATATTGTCATTTTTATATCTAGGCATGAGAAGTAGTATGATTTAAAATGCTTAATCATAAAAATAATAAACCCGTGCCTCATAACAAAATTATTATCGATCAATCATTTTCTTAAATAGAAGATTTTCTATAATATGAGCCTAAAATATACGTTTTTTACAAAATTGCATATTGAATAATTAAATTTTAAAAATATTTCTTTATATGTTTAACGACTCACCTCATTTTTTTCTGTGAGTGCTTCGAATTCATCATCATCAATCTACAAAACATTCATGTTTAGTTGTTAATATAACTACATTAAAAAGTTAACAAACATTCA